GGCCTTTGCTGACCAATTGCCTTCTTTTTTCACGTATTGCTTGATATGCAGACTAAAAAAATCTTTCCGACCTTTCAGCCCAAATGTAAAAGAAACCAACAAAACCATTCTACATTTTAAACGAACCATTTCTTGTTTAGACCTTGAATGGCTGCTAGCCTTCAAAGGGAGAGCCGAAATTGGTCGGGCTTTATATGAAGCTTGGACCACTTCCACAGATGACCCCACACAAAACGAAGCAGACCGCAGCCTTAGCAGCTTACATCACTACCGGGACAATCTTATATTTCACCTGTGGAACAATCTAACGATACATGAGGTGAATATGTTTACATTACTTCGGGGGGGGGGGGAATGAACGATTCTTATTTTGGGGAGCAGCTGGCTTTAATCTCTATCTCCTATTAAACACTGGTGTTTTGCGAATACAAAGAGGCACGTTCAGAATTAGTACATTACCATTTCCAAAGAAATTAAATATCAAATAAGCTAAAATAATGCAGCCTGTGAGAAGTTGAATATGATGTCACCATATTGTCATTCAAAGACGCAATATGTCAAGAGCCCAACCTCAGTGTTGGATGGTAGATCTACTTTTAAGGCTCCGTTCATATATCAAGTATACGTTTATCGTAGTCTGCAGGCAATGGAAATTAAAAGTCTGGTCACTCCATGCCTGAACTCACGTGTGTTAGGCACTACAGATTTGTGACGGAAATGACGAGGAAACACAGTCTCAAATCCCATCCAGTGGTTTTAGAAAGTTAGCTTGATTCAGGTATCCGAGTGTATAGTCGTGCAAGTGTTCTCCTCCCCCAAGTCGCCTAGAGGCTCACCGGGCTTGTCTCTCTCGCGTTGTAGGTGAAGCTGACCTTATTCACCCTCAACCCCAAAGTAGAGTGCCTTGTTATGCGATTTAACGGGACGGGCAGCGATGCTACGAACTGGCTCGGAGCAACTAACATCTTGCAGGCTCCCTGGAGCGATTTACATCAAGGGATCACTCCGCTCCACGGATCAATGGGAGGCATTGAAGCTCCGTAAGTGGAGACACGCATAGGTATACGAGGCCGTGGCTCCAGAAGGAGTGATATTTGACCCAGTCGATATCCATCAAGCCGTATACTGGACATAACTTGGGGGTATATCAGTTGGGTACAGAAAAGGAAGGTTAAATAGCAGAGACGAATCCCGTATTTATGAAAATATACTACTCAATAAAACCATAAAATGTAATCGAGGTTGAACATAAATTAACGAACGAGGGATATGTTTTCTCACATATCTGTCTTTGAAGTTCTTCAATGAAGACTTGAGACCACAGACATGGATGGGGTAAGTCTCGACTCTCTTCCGCTCTGGCACCAGCAAATAGGTAATAAATAAAAGAAACACTATCCGGTTTGTTAGTGACTTCATCACACACGCGGACTTGCTTCTGATTGCCGGCCCCCATTGGACAAACACTAAAGTTACGCGTTGACTTCCGGTTCCGTACTTCCACGTAATTCTATATGCAGTTGGCGTGAATTTAAACCGAAGTCACGTCACAATTATGAACTGGATAGTATCAATAGCAAACGATGACGTCCTACCACACGTATAAAGGTCAAATTGCATCAGTGACATTGTAATGCACAATATCTTTTCGCCTGCCCGCAACAGTTGGACATTAACAAATCTGACCCCTTTGATAAAACCTGGATCTGCCACTCTAACAGAAGAAGGGGCTCGATCAAATAAAACTTATACCTGTGAAACAAAAAAAAGAAATTAAAAAGAAACCGAAACGATCAAACAAACCATAAAGATGGGCCTGCGCCTTCATGGGATCTGCAACTGCAAAGTAGTGTTGAAATCAAGGCCAAAGATGGATTGATGACCTCACGATATGGGGCTCATCAAAATTGTCAATGGCACATGGTGGCGTTTTTTATTTCGTAGGCTGAAGACATCACTGACGCGCCATGAAAGTCTAACGCGCGCAGTGTTTCAGAGCCACCGCACCACACACCTCTTCAAAGTAGTGATCTCACCAAGTGAACAAATGACAATTATCAGGAAAGCCACGTGGATCCCAGTTATGTGTCATTATGTTTTGAAGAGCCCCGAATGCTTATTTCAAGGGATCACTTGCCCGATCTAAGGTGGGAGGGGACTGACCATATCAATCATAATACTCTACACTGTTCAGATTTCATGCAATGTCTCGGCACGTATACGGAAACCATTTGGTTCTGAAGTACGATCCATTTACAGAGTCAAAGTACAGCAAGTATTACGTTTTATTTTCAAATCTTTGTAAAGTTGTTTAACTAGAGAGGTTTTTCGTTATTTGTTTTGTAAACCCAATGCTGTCTTAGAAAGTTCTCTTTGGGCTCTCATTTCTCGGATTCAACGCACTATCCAGCAGTGTAGTTACAGCGATCGAAATAATATGCGTCTTATTTAAAGTGGATCCTACACAAAAAGTTCGACCTGGAGTGTAAACACTTTTCTGACAAACCTGTATCACATTGGTTGAACCAAACGTCTGTTATTGTGTCAAAGCAGCGGGGATATTTTCTTTTTTTTTTTACAGTAACTTCGCCCATTTGCCACTTCCCCCACGTGCCACTTTGCCCATGCGCCACTTCCCCCGCACAACATTTGGCGTGGTAATAATTCTTCCCCTAATTTCGCAAGTAAGTAGGCCTGTTATCAGTCGACAAATCTTCGCATCCTTTTGCTTATTGTGTGCAAAGCTTCGGATACAGTAATTAAAACACCAAGACTCAGACACAATAGAGACATTTTAAGAAGCATTATCACCGGTACAATTTGTCGACCCTTTCTAAACGTGCACTGGGTCGACAGATTTCGTGCTCTATCATTGGTCAACGCGTTGTAAAGTCGTGCCAGCGAACTATTGTGAAACGTTTGTAATCTACAACTAAGTCAATGAAAGTATTTGGAACTTTTAATCATTTCTTTAAAATCAAATATGGGTTGTTAAAATTCGGAAAGTATTTTATGTTACCGCAGGCGTGGCTCAGGCTCCTAGCCATTCCACGTTGTTCCCGTTATATGCGGCGGTACCCCGCCAGCTCTTAGCTTTGCATCGGTTTACATGAAGGAAAACCTCGATACGTTCTAACTCCACCACATCCTCCTACTGCTATTTAGTATTTTGATCTCTTCTGAAAATCAAAGTGAATTCAGGAGGATCAGGTAGTCGTTTTAATGGTCTTCCTCTCTTTTCAATTTTGAAAAAAAGCTGTGGCCGGTGACGCGTGGGCGAAGTGATAAATGGGCTAATTCGGAAATGGGTGCATGGGGCGAAGTGACTGTGGGAGAAGTGGTACTTTAAACCCCGGTGGCAACCCCCCGGCGTTGAAACTATCCACATATGACCTAATATGGTCCTACCTTTTTTCCCCAATGGGCCAACTTGGTAAAGATTCCATGTAATCCTCACCCCAGGCATACACTACAAGCCTGTAGAATCCCATTGGCCAGACCCCAAGCACTGAAGAGTAAGAATTCTTGAAAGATCAGTATCCCCAAGACGCCCATATGACCAGGAAATGACTTGGCAGTACAGAACATCCACCTTGCTGCTCGGAGTTACTTTGGGGACGTGGCTACAAATGCACTTCCACAGCAGCATAATGAAAAGTAGTCAGAGAAAGATGTATTGGATACCATAAAACAGTCGTACAGGTTCAGGGGCATGACTGGGAACTCCGGGAGATGGTGTGGTGATGATTTTCTCCGCATGTAGGAAAGGTCCCTCTTGTTTTGGCGTTGCGGCGCCGAGGGTTGTAAAATGGGCCAGGTGACCGACACTGTCTCTTTGTTCATTCCAGGAGTGGCTATCGGCGGTTCTTATTCGACAAGTGCACGTATAGCGTCTGCTCTTCTGACTGTGGCTGGTTGATTGTATCTGACTGTGCTCCGACGTGTGACTGTAATTGGGAAGGAAGTCTACATGGAATAACGGTACGCTCCAAAATATTCTACTGCAAGAAGAAGACAGTCTGCAACTGGAACAACATAGTCGGTAACTTTTTTTCCCTTTATGCTGTCCAAAGTGTTCTCTGAAGAATTATATCAGGCCAGCAGTGCCGTAGCTAGGATTTTACGGGGGGGGGATGGGGCACAAGGGCACCAACATCTTATGGGGGGGCACCAGCTTTCAGTGTCGTGTTTTGTTAGCTTTTGTTAGCCTTCTTCAATATCCATTCGTCCATTGACTATTGATTATCTTATCTCGTTGTTTAGTAGGGGCACCAGGAATTTGTGGGGGACATGTGTCTCTAGCCCCCCCTGGCTACGGCCTTGAAGGCCAGTGATTTCAGTGAAAAAAATAACACCCCGTGAAATGTTACGAAAATGTTCCTCTTTTAAACAAGTAAAGATAAGGAGCCCCCCCGCAAAAAAAATAAAAATCGACATTTCCAATCATCCTACCGCCAGTGCCAATTCAGACATAAGTGAGAAAATCTCCAACTGTCCAAAAAAAATCGGAGACTATTTTGCCATTATTTCTAAAACACGTTTGGCGGCCTCGGAAGGGTTTTCCCAGATCGCATCACATTTTCCCACTAAGGGGAGAATTAAGTTTATCATGCTGGTATTTTCGAAGAAGTTGCTCAACTCATGCGCCTGAGTCACATTACATATATTCCGTACTGACTGATTCTCCTCCGGTGCCGAAAAAAAGTGTCAGTGAAGAATATCCAGTCGAATGTCCTATTTTCCACATACATGTATGCCTATGTGAACGTTATTAGGCTAAACCCCACACATTTTGTTGTACAGATGCAGGTGAATATAAATATCGATCACCACCAGAACTGGTGAACCTTTACACAAATTGAAACTGAGTCTTTGGGACGCTAAAAGAGATTTCTTTTTCGGCCTGCCTAATATTTAGCACGGGTTTCGATCTTAGGCTGATTCTATCCGGAGATGCAAAGGAGTCTTTATATTGCTCGTCTTTCCTTGTGTTTTGAAAGGTCCTCGTGTGAAACAGACGCTTCCTCGTGAGTTATTTTCCTGTTTTTATTTGCAGACATTGGAGTGGCTGATGTATTAACCATTCATGTCAAATTCTGAAGGCAACGATGAACGGTGGAGGCGTTAATATCTTGACTAGCGTCATTCTTATCAGTACATTTAGTTCATACCGCTCACTGCAAAGATGCAACACAATGACATGAATTTAACTCGTCAGTCTAAAAGTTACCGTATCCGATGACACGTTTGGAGGTATAAGTCAGAGTTGAAGCATTACATTTTTAAATTTTTAAATTGTATTGTGTACATTTTAGAAGGTTTCTCTATTGCTTATTCAAATTTTAAGGGCTTTTCGATTTTCTTCAACATTTGGAAGTTGTAGCGTGTCTGATTTCCCATTAGAAAATGCTCAAAGTTTGCAGTTTCAACAATAAATTACAAAAAATTAAAAAAATAACTAATAATAAAATATTTTCTCCAAAAATAACAACACAGTTTTACGAACGCTCACTTTATCTTTCGAAGTTTTAACTCCACGAAGCGAAGCATGTTAATAGCCCTTGGTTTTTGAAATCCTTTCTTCAGTACTAGCTTAATTAAAGCCTCAATAGTGTGGCCCTGTATTGTATTTTTGCAGTAATTTTTGAACTTTAAAAACCTAGAACTCAGAGTTTAATGAACTAAATGAAAATGGCTTTTATATAGATAGAACATATTTTCTGCTTTTTCATGGAAAATGTTTAGAATGGAAATACAAGAGTTTTAATGTACAGGTTGTTAGAGGCTGCCTGTTGTGTATAGGACCTTTACTGCAAAGATTGCATCGACTGTTAGTTTAAAATGATTTCAGTGACAGTGCGCCTAACGTTTAATTTGTTTGCAAAAATCGTTATTCAGTGATTGAAATTCAGTTTTTAGGTGTTGAACCCGCATAGGGGATTTAAATAATATCCAACGATCATTTTGACACAATTGGTATGTTAATCAGACAAGCCATTCTCGCGGAATGCTTCCCCTGAGACAATTCAGTAAAGAATGTTAACTTTTTCCATTCGCGTTTTCAGGCATGCAGGCCAACACGCGTCAGGCCTTGAAATAAAATCACGGTAACAAATTTGATTAACTTTAAACTTCATAGGAAAATCATATCTTTCAAAACTTGATCTTGTTTATTTTTAAGTTTAGACAAATTACCAAACACAACAAATTGAAAAAAGGCCCACCAATTATTCAAAAGTGAAATAAAATTACAATTACGGAAGGCTTTTCTCACAATGTAAATAGAAATAGAAAGACAGTAACTGGTTAAAAGGGATCACAATTCACTGTTTTGTAAATAAAGTTCATTATATTCAACTGTTTTATTAGCTAACAGTTCCATATTTTCATCAGCCGTTAGTCAGGGCTTGAAGTTTGCAACAAAATGCGGCATGACAAACAGTTAGTGCAGAAAGCTTCCAATTTCCCAAGATTTCCAGCAGATGCCTTCATGACGTTGTTGACAATATCACTTCGTATAAAGAGCGGCAGTGCTGTTTCGAAGAGAAAGATATATACCGCCAAAACACATTCAAAGATTATTTAAATCCTTACTACTGAATACCTAACCCTTTCTACGTTGTTTGAAATAAACACTTAATACATGAATTATTATTTCATTAGTTAATTATCAAGATTCTAACTGCTAAAAATGCGTAGAAGTCAAAAGTGTCAATCACCGTTGCAGTCAGGTTCTACACGGGTTTTTCCCCCAATTTCCACCCAGAAGTAGCGTCCAATGAAGTGATAAAGAATTATTTTGTTAAAGATCACGTGAACAGTGTTTGACATTATTTTAATGGACCTCTGATGTGGATTTTCACGAACCTTTGATGGACTTGGCTAGACAACAACAGTGTCATTAGTTAACAATGTAAAAATGCATTCATTTCTTTAAAAAACATCAAACTCACGAACGCTCGAACACTGAAAGATCTTGGTGCAAATGTTCAGTCAATTTTTCATGCACATGTTAACCTCCAGATTGTTACATTAATTTTAGAAAAACTTTGAATGTAATTGAAAGGCCCTTAACGGGTGGGAAACATGTGTACTCCACGATTTTTTCTGAGGCAGGTCTGTAAACAATGGTTTTGACGGGTTGAACTAGTGTTTATTGCAAATTCAAACAATTCATAACAGCCTTTCTGACAGGATGAGTAATTGTTACACATTCCAACAACATTACTTTCAATTCAGTAAGTCATTGCTATCTGGTCCCTATTTCGGACTTTCGGGAGTATTTGATTTGTGAACTGGAGCCAAGCATTTGGTGAAGTTCTTGTAACAAAAGTGTACACGTATTCATATTCCATGTATACTGTAATTACAGTGATTTTGTTGAAGCACTCCTTCAACCTGTGCTTACAAACCAATATTACTGAAATATGTACACTACATGTATTAGGATCATTGCGCCTCAATTTGACATTTGACGTTGATCTGACACAGATGGTGAATCTGCTGTATCAAACTGGAAGCTGTACTCGGTTCTGCATAGGCCTATTGGCCTGAGATTTTGCTACCCACGAGTTCAAGTGACAGATTCATAAATGAGATTTCACTAACTAAAATGGGACATAAGCCTTTTCTTCGAGGTGTTTTGCTTGTTTTGTTATCACGTACTTCAAGACACTCCACGTCCACTATCCATTTTTCCTGTTTCTAGTGGATGTGGTTTGTATTCCTTTAACACTAGATCCTGAGGGCCCTATTGCAGCAAGACTTTTTGATGAGTTTCAGGAAGAGAGCGATGAATTCGCACACTGTGATGAGAGAGAAGCCGATGTAAAGGCCTACAATTCCGCCGATGTCTCCAAACAGGGAACTCTCCTTGAACCAAGAACAAAACGACACAAGTAGTAAATTACCCAGCTTAACTTTGGACGGCACTGAGCAATGAACTAAAGGCCCATTTACACACGCGCGCGTTAACAGCGAGCGTTTACAGAAAGCGATAATGTGGCGTGATATTTTACGGTACACGGGGCGTGCACAAGATGTAACCTGCTCGGTATTTATGTTAATGATCCTCTCTAACAACGACTTAGAGCTGGACCGTAATGCCATATCCAACGAGAATGCTTATATGCCAGAACGCGCAGTCTCAATACAGCATCATCAGGAAAACTTGCTCTGGTTTCTAAACGCAGCGGTTTATCGAGCGTCCACACGGTTTCTCCGCTCTAAATGATAACAACCAATAGAAAACCTCGTGTTTTATTTTGACTGCGCGGATTTCGGTTAGCACGTATGTGTTAACGGACCTTGAGTTACTTACTATGAAACAACTGGCAACGAAATGATCCTTTGATCCTATACTTCCCGCTCAAAAACTTAAGAGTCATTTTCAAACCAAAGAATAAAAGAACGTAAGAATAAGAAAAGGAAATCCTTGACAGCTAGCTTTGGATGTTTCCCGCGAAGGTCACACCATGTCTATATCCCCCATATTGTAGAAACAATGCTTCAATCGTGTCACATATATCAAGCAAATATCGGTCCGCTTTGACATTGTGAAACGGCCTTGTGAGGAAGATACCGTAACACAGCAAAATTGACCGCAAACAGTGAGCTATGGCTGAGTAAAGGACTTCCTGATCAACTGATAGCTGTCGTGAGCGGTGGCTTGAAGTAATAAAACAAACCGGGTATGCTGGCACTTCTTTGGTGCTCTCGTAATTCAACTCCTCATAGAACACTTCAAGCCGGGCAATATTGTCACTGTGGGGAAAACGATGGGAATTTGCATTTACAGCCCAAGCTGCAGTTTGTAAAAAACAGTCCCATTATGTGCATGAGATCTGGTAAACACGAGTCTATGGTACAACCCATACTACGACTTCCAACTCGAAGTTTACCTGAAGTTTGGGTTGACAATGTTTTTGGTAACTGGATATACATGTAACGCTCAAAGTTTCGAACACTGAGCATATTCAAGGTTTCGAACGCTGACTTGAGCCCAGGGTTCACTTCCCCATAGTGTTTGGTTGGCCATTACTCAGTTAAGACATAAAATGATGAATATAAGTTATTCACTCGTAAAAAGTATGACGTGATTTCAACCACTAAATGACAACATATAAAGTATGATTAAACACGAAATTGGAAAAAAAAGAAAAGTAAATCAACCAGACACAGCCTGGCAATATACTGGTACGTTTTATGACATGTTGATCTGTGATCAGTTTGCAGTTTCACGAGTCATATTTGTCTTGTAAGCTTAAAACTCTAACAATGCCTATTCTAAAATATCTGCTGTGGGTGAGAATACTTACAAAACATTTTCTTCATTTAATTGCCGAGTCTTTTCATTGATTGAATTGATGTTTCGTAACAGGTGTTTCTGAAAATTCGAAAATATAACACAAGATTGAAATAAGAAAAATCAGTTAAGGACACACTTAAGAATTTCGCTATACACAGCCTGGTTCATGAGGATCCAATATAGCTACTTACTGTGAATTTTTTGGATGGCCACTTGGACATCGAACTTGTTTTTGTGTAATACACCTCACTGTAAATTAAATACAATTCAATTTAGTTACAGAGGCCGAATAGTGTCACAAAAGGCGGCTTAACACCATCAAGTGCATGAAAGATGTACAGACAGACTGTTCTGCTATTTAGCAAATCTCTGTTGGAGTATACCGTTGGAGTGACCCATTGTACGCCTAGGTGTTTCGTTTCAACCTCGGGAAATCTAGTTCCTCTGGTTGATTGGTGTTACAGCAAATTTTCTTCAGAAAAATGTCAATAACCTGTTCTATTTTTTTAAAATTATATGCTTGGACGTGTTTGAAATTTTGGTTTAAGAAGTTTGACATTTTTTTGCGTCCTCTGAATGGAAGCATTTTTCGATGAATGGAAACGGAACGTATAACGAAATAGTCGGCATATCGATTATTCAAGTAACAAAATAATACTCGCAAGCCTAGGAAACACACCTGCACTGTTCGGGGCAGTCGCAACTTAAATTGTTATGCTGATTGAGGTAGTAGATAAGTTGCCTGCACACTTCTATTCAAGTTAAAAAAAAGAAAGGCAAAGTATTAAGGGATCCACGAATTGATTAGTAGATTAGTTCTGTAACCATGATTCAAGGACTGCTTATCGGCAAACAGAAAAGAGGGTAGCCTTCTATACTTTTGAGGTTAGCTATCCTATTGGACTTGATATCCTGGTCATTGCATTTAGCACACAATGTATTTGAAAATAACACTGGTGTGAATGGTTCTGAGCAAATTACCCGCATAACTCACGAAAACTCGTGTGTATATACACAGAATCACTTTAGTTTCGGTTTCCCCAATTCCAGGGTTATAATTCTTCAGGCAGTCCTTAAACAAAGGGGAATGAATTGAGTTGAAATCCATAATTATACAAGAAGTACTTCATTTCGTCATTCCAATCGTAATGTTTTAGAATTTATTCAAACTCAAGGAGAGAACATGAATGAATAAAGGGAAAATATGAAGAAGACATGCCCCAGGAACAACATGAGCATGGGCAAGACCAGGAAGACACAAATATGACTCGGTGTACGAATGAGGATCATATATACGAAACACGATTAACATATATGCAAATGCCCATGTTGAAGTGAAGTAGCCTCCAGACTCTTAACATGTATTTTCAACATATTCGGGTCAGTCAGAATTTTCACTATTTATAAAAGCATAGTGCCAATATTTTCAAGTTTCACATTGGATGCAGCTAATGTGGACAGATCACTGCGGCACTAATTGTGCTTTGTTTCCCAGCTAACCTTGAGTCTCGTTTAGCAGCCGGCATCGAGGCCCGTCGAGTTCCAGAGTATCTACACAGTCGCAGTTTTTCAGAATGGCCTCATGAATACACGTTTTCTTACACAGCTGTAGAGTGGAAATGTGAAATGGATGTGTTAGCAGAGGGATATGTTTATTCTGCCTCTCAGATCTTGTGACCTCCTTGTTATACTGACAATGCTGTTACCTCATCCTGTGAAAAAGGTTTCAGACGTGGAGGGACTTCATTTATTTTACGCAACCGTGATCAAATTGGTCTGTCCTCTTGACGTTGGCCGTCAACAATTTGGGTTGCAGGATGTGTCACCCCGCAAACTATTTTGAAAAATGCTTTTATTCAGATGAAAAAGACTTTCAACTCTCCCAGGTATTTACAAAGGCCAGAAAGCTTGTTTCTATCTTGCTAGTTTCGTTAAATATTTCCCCACGATGACTCATGATCTATGGCACCATAATCTGAGATATGCAATTTTTGGTACACTTATCATTGTTAACACACTCATCGTTACCGACCGTCTCTCCCTTCGCACTGAAGGGCGGTAGACTTTGGATATGCCTATTATACCAAGTGAACGGGGAACTTGCCTCTCGGTCGTAATGGTCGGATGAAGAGACTTTGATTCTACCGTCAGCAATAATTTTGGTGTTCCTTATTCTCTTCAAGCACTTTCCATAGGGTCGCCCTTGACGAAGCACATAATTCTGTTGAAAAAATGAGCCATTTGCATGAAGCTGATCGAATTAAGCGAGATTTTCAAAGAAGTAAGGAAAAGGATGTGCAACTACACCTAGAGGCCGGCATCCAATTAGAGCGGTAAATTTGCTCTAAGGGAACCGGGGGATGGAGGATTACGGGGGGTGATTTGCCCAGACATGGAAATTTAGGAAGGGGGAGATACTGACATTCAGACACTAGGTGAACCTCGAATTCCATGTAATGATCAGTCAATAACCATATTTGCAGGGTGTAAAGTCGCCATTGATGTTGAGCTCACTCCCGGCCATGCCAACTGGGGAGATCCTGGCCTGCTACCAACCAATATCATCCCTCTCTACCCTGTGTATACTGCGTATCGCCGTCGTGCCGACTCACTCATCGCTAGCGACCAATCACATACTGCTGTCCCTACCCAGTCTCCTGGCCCAGATGACCTCGAAAGCAGCGGACAGTTTCTGTCCAGAAAAAGAAATCGACCACTACAAACACAATGACCTTGCTGTGCTGGCTTACTCATCTACAAATTAACTCGGCCCGAGTGGGTTTTACGATTCGATGTGTATGCAATGGACAAGTTCTTACGTATCTGAGACCGACGGATGTGACCGTTCCAGGCTTGACCGTGATTCCATCATTAGTTGGGCTTGGCCTGATGTGTGGGGGGTTGATAGATACTCTAGCCCCGGCCTCTGGTCCAAAAATGCCGATGTACTCGTCCTGCTCCAGGAAGAGTGTCATTTGAAGACCTGTAAATATGGGTAAACAATAGGTACCTATACGAAATAGCTGACACAAGGGAAAGCAGAATATTGGCGGCTAATGCGAAATCAGTCCTGAGTTAAAGGAATCAAAGTGATGAAGATCAGTGCACGCGGATATTTTGGATGAACCAGTATGATACAGTAGGCAGATATTAATCCAAAATTAGCCAGGCTTTCAAGACTATTTCACGACCACGGTGCTGGTTGACCTCTAAAGATGATGGTAATCAAGAGCCTCGATCTTTCTGAAACCTGGCATAAATGTCCAATATCTTTGAAAGCTCAATCCCAAGCTTTGGTCATTTCCGGTTCATGGCCTCGATATCGGCCCCGTACCTTGAGAACTTCAATTGAAACAGTTAACCATTGCTACAGACATGTCAATGCAACGGGTGTTAGCGACATGTGTGTCTGAGTTTCGTGAAATTGGTGTCAAAAATGATTGGAAGACAAAAAATGGAGTGTCCATGAAATACTTATGTGAAATTAACATTAAACTAACCTGAATAATAAATCAGGAATAATTCATATCAGAATCTGGCTATCATGCCAACAAAGAATAAAAACAACGGGTTGCTTTCATTAACTATACCATATCTGGCGCCTGTTTTGGATGCAGTGATCGGCTTCTCAATGTCAGCGTTGAAAGTGAAGCAGTTGCCATAGGTATCGTCTTGAATTGTCTCGAAATTGCTGGAGGACAATAGTTAACACGTTATTCCAGATGATTCAAAGAGGTCTGTGCTTAATCACTACTAGAGTATGTGCGCAAAACTTACGCAATGTGACCTTTTTCTCTTTCGGCTCTCAGTTTCAGTTGGGATATTTATAACAGCAACGGAAAAAATTCTTGGGGCGGGGGGCTTGTATTAAATCAGACTATTGCTGATCAAACACAAAATACTTCTAGGGTCGCTCAGCGGATATTTAAATATAATATTAAAGAATTTTACGTCGCTTTACTATTGTACTGGTCTTTGGAGAACCTCCCACTGCACAACGTTGGACGGTACTGTACTCTCGTTATTTAAAGGATTTTTAAGAAAGCATACAGTATTTCCAACCGGGTCAATGTTTTGAAATGACTGTAATGTTTATGGATGTTGGCACTGATCCAGTATCTTTTATTAAACCACTCTTTTATGCATGTTAACTCGGACCAACTTGTTGAAGACGGATTCTCATATCAAATGAAAACATAGATGCAAAAGATTACAGAAGGCTTATCAACCATCTCGGGGAGGGGGCAGTTACAGTGGCTACCTTCCAAGCTCTACATTGTCAGTGTAAGGTTGACATTCATATATACGAATGTGTACAAGTTCACCTGATGTTACATTTTGTCTGTTCGTATGTGCACTGCAGGATGAAATCTTCCTTCTGGTGTCCGTACTGACTGACCTCATCCTTGGTAAGCTTTGGCACGTCGACAAGGTCGCTGTAGTCGGGCGTGGCGCTGAACGTGACGAAACCGTTCCAGTCTGCCGGGTCTTCGCCTTTGACGCGGCCAAACGGGGGCACCCTGAACTGTGCGGGGAAATTCTCGAACAGGTAGTGGTGGTCCTCCGGTACCAATTTCCGATACCGAAAATACCATAAGGGTTGACGGAAAACGTCCTTGAACGGTTCTGTCAAAGTGGGGAATAGGAAAAGGAGTTTAACAACTCTGGTATGGGCCACATTCCTTAGGAGTTGAGCCAGAAACCTACTGCGACACCAGTGCAATCCACCGTGTTTTTATCAATAAGCGAACCTTCGAGTTTTCTAATTCGCGAAGGATTAGAAAAGCGCGGAGCCAGCAGGCAGTGCTGGATCGGCTCGTAAAATGTCAAGTGAATATGGCACCAGTAGAGATCCTGTATCCATTTGATAAAGATTTGTTTTAATTGAAAATAAGCCTCATCGATATATAACCTAGGATTCGCGGTTGCTAATTACACGTTTGCTAACTACGGACAGGTGGCTGGTCCCGGGAAATATGTGTGGTGGTGACATGGTATGCCATAGGCTCGTCCGCAAACAGGGGTTGACAATCAAGACACTAGACTCAATCATTAATTCTGATTGAAACAAGCACAAGTTAAATAACTCCTGAACAAAAAACTTGTTGGTTTAGTGAATAAAAAAGCCTTTAGGCTGTCACGCACTGTTCCCGCGGAAACAGTACTTGAATGGACATGAAGGAAAACTGATTTGATCGCGGCCCTTTTGAGCTTTTTGGAACACTGAAAAGCCACGGCTCTGGTGTATTTCTCGAGACAAATACGAAAATCACTGTTTACCACTACATATTCATCTGGCAACCCGCACCACACACAATGATGATAATTGTTGTAACTACACACCTGCTTTATTTTGTACGCTTGGGTGACAATCACTCACCACGTCGTCCTGACAAGGGGCAGTTTGCTTCGTCATCACCCAAACGGCAGTCTTCTACAGTGTTGCACACGTCGTACTCGTGGATAAACTCCACGCCGCCTCGACATCGGTAGTAGTTCTTAGGTGGTTCCTCGTCTATGCAGTTCCAAGACAATCAAGTTGGAGGTCGCACTCAAGAAATTTGTGTTGTGCTTTTAAAGTTGACAAGTGGCTTGTTACTGACAAACTTACCTGCTCAGTCACACCTCAACACCAGTAGGTCCCTTAATAATATTTAGATAACTCAGCATTTTGCAGACTCCAAAAAGACCAATATTAGCCAAGTTTGATTTATTCAAAACAACTTCAGGATTGAGATGGTATCATAAAGTGACAACCATATAGCAGGTGTTAAGGGGGGGGGGAGAGAGTGACTTACCAGTGGGTGGTCAAGAAGGAGGTGTTACCTGTCGAATAAACCCTACCAACCAAAGCGAGTTCTTTAGAAGCCCTTAATCCAATGTTCAGTGTAGGCTCGTAACGACTGATAGCCAGAGCTTCTTTAAATAACAGTTCCGACAGTTGACAAATCAACGATTCTTGTATTGCTAGGGATCACCGACTGATGTTGTAAGTTGTCTGTAGTGTCCGTATTCATGAGAATAAGATCAAGTAGCCCCAGACCCGATCCGACTACCAACCGCTGCTTATAAGTGACGCCTGTGCAGCAAAACAGCCACGCTCTAACTGTGATGCTAATATATTATGGTATGATGCAATACAGTAGGCAAACTTATAAGTGAGGTTTGTTCGAGCCATCTGGTTGACAATTTTCGTGACGCTGACAAGCCTCGCTTATAAGTTTTCCTACTGTATTCCATTATACTAAAATATAATAGCATCACAGTTCTTGCAGGGTTTTTTGCTGCACAGGCCTCACTTATAACTAGCGGTGGGTAGTCGCATCGATTGGACCCGGAATGTGGTCAAAACCTCTGTCTGAAAAAACGCGGTCAATTATTACACATTACATGCTGAAAGTTGGCCAGAATTTAGTTCATAGATACTTAAATAAGATAAAGTGGCCACTCACAAAGAATGTTAGATTCATAATTCTGTGGACATCCAAGAAAGTCATGAACAAGAGGTCAACAAAGGACTTAACCCCCAAAGAGTATCTTAGTTCTGATGTTTACCATTTTAAATGGCCAGATTGTAACAACGATTACATTGGCAAAATGGACAGATGCTTGGTCACTGGGATTAGGGAACACTCAACTGGACCGAATAGTGTAATATTTTATTGACTGTGCAAGCATTATACACAACATAGGGGTTCATTAAAAGTATGTTGTTTTGTATACGAAGAGGGAATCGTGCTAAATCGCCCTTGTCGTTAGCATCGTCCATTTTGTGTGAAGAGCTGCATTACATCTCCATCAACAAGGCAACATTGTGGTGTGTTTATATTCTTGAACATGAATGATACCATACCCACATAAGTCCCTGTCGTCTGATTGGTGGACCTTCTCTCACATGTGGTAACATTATTCATTCTGTTTGACGGCATTCTTGAAATAGAACTTCGATTTTTTTTGACCGGTTCTGGCCCTATTTCATATTTCTTATTCCAGTAAGAAAGAGGAAAATAACGCAGCGACAGAAATCAGTCCAACATTACGTGGTACTACCACTGGGTGACGCTTTGGACACAATAGGGTCTTTGTTGGCCAAATTATGGGCGTTAACGCACGAACGGGGTGTATTTGTTCTCTAAACACAAGAGTATTCATGTATGCATTGTTACTTGGTTGACATTTGTGCAATGGTGAAAATAATTTCATTCGGTGACAGAGGAAATGCTGCGCATCGGGTTGGACGAATAATTTGTACGCGCTCAACAATTCACCTATCCGATAGTTGTCAATTATTCAGACGTTGTATGAAGCCAATGAGCCGTAGAATCCCATTAACATGACTTACTTTGAAGTGGACATCGCATTTCGTCTGAAGTCTTCACTGCACGGCTCCGTCTCAACGATGCCTGACCGCAATCGTTGTAACCGTCACAGACGAAGTTTTGGCTGATGCACCTGACCGATCCGTCTCGTCTTGGCTCTTTGCACTGGAACTTCCGTTGGCCACACACTGGAATTGAATTGAGTTTTTGCAACCGGGGAGAGAAGGGATGCGAATGAGGCGGCTTCAGAAAAAGTAAAGCACTGACGAGTGACCGTGCAAACCACAGAGTCCAAATTCTCGCTGTTTTTGGAAGGAAAAGGGGATAACACAAAACTTACTAGAAAACTTAAGCTAAGCTAAACGATATAACATAACGACGATAATATCATAAAAGGAGATCTATATATGCCCAAAGCTAATAAAGACTAATTCAGTTACCAGGGTTTGAAGCTTTTGCTTGTATATGGTGCAAAGCTCGTGCGCAGGTCAAGGTCAATACCATTGCGACCAATAGGTTGTGACTCATCACACAGTACTGCAGCCTTTTCGCGCATTGGTGAAAAGGGCTGCAATACAGAAGCTTACTATTACGTCAGTGGATTGGAGGGTGAGAGCAGATAACACGCATGCGTGTAACAAGAGCAGCTTAAACCAAGCGCTTCATGCACACCAAGACCACCTTCAACTTGACCAGCACCAGATCCACCTCTCCAGCCCAGTAACCCCCTAGGACACGGTCTCCTACCTCAGACGTCCAATGCCCTCACCAAGGGATGTCTCCCCTAGGCTAAGCAGCCTAAGCCAGGAAATGTACCGCTCCCTATGTGAGTGCGGCAAGGTATACATTTAGGAAAAACCGGCAGATGCCTGCCCACTATATTGAAAGGGCATCGGGGCACACGGCGGACGAGGGGATTTCAAGTCAGCCATCTTCAAGCTCGCCTGTACCACGGACCATCTCATCAGTTTGGATGCAGCACGGTCCATTGCCCCTTTCAAGAGGCGGCTTCCCCACAGAATGCCAGGTGCCATCAATATCTACCGGCATCACACCGTCCGACCAGGCATCAGATTCCAACTCAAGCTACCTGGCGCCAACTCCTTGAAGCATCCGACGAAACATCCCAAAGCATTTGCCCTAAACTCTACGCTTCAGCAACAAGAATCCAACATCCAAGTCTCCACGCACCAAGGATCACCGCTAGCATTCAGCACTTCAAGCATCCTCGACCACCAAACCCATTACGTGTACAGCTTCATTAACCAGCCCTGCCGTTTCCTGACAACAGTCGGAGTATACTTGACCAAAACGTCAAGTTATAACTCAGTGGTTCTTTTCAGAGCCCTATTCCTAACAAGAGAGAGTCACAGGGTGCTCTCGCAACCGCAACTAGTTCGGGGCAGGTCCAGGTAAAAGTCACATGAATTGTCGATGTTAAGAGTAAGGGAGGTAGGGGCGTTAAACAAGGTGAAGGAGGAAGACGTTATTGATCTTTTGGGTTTTTTTTACATACCAATTTCCTCTGTACATTCTGGTAGCCATTCATCACTGGCATCCAGACAATCGGGGAACTTGTTACAGGTCTGCCAATAGCGGATGCATTCCCCACTGCCACAACGGAAACTACCCTCACCACAGCCAGCTGAAGAACATAAATAAGAAACCTGTGACGCAACCTTGCGGGTGTAGGTTCAATAGATGCACTCTATAATCAAAACCAGTTTCCAAAGATTTTGGCAACCCATCGGTGTTTATAATTTTAGCGCCAATGCTATTTTTCACTCGTTCAGAAATCAATTCTGTCAAAACTGATAATACTGCTTGTTTTCTTTAAATTAATGTCATTGACTTTCTAAACTCAGGCAAAATACTTCGTGTTAATTTCCATGATAATCAATACCTTTCCACACATCTATGGCAGGCATCTTTTTGAAAATTTGAGCTCACTGATTGTTGAAATGGAAGAATTTTGATATATTAAATAGACCATGAAATAGAACTGTTTTGCATGCAATCTTTTCAGTTGGACCTTTGTATTTCTTTAACTTTGGTCTGGATTTTGTTTTGGTGTTTTAAGTTTAATGGCGTCTGTTTGGATATTTGTTTGGTCGCGTGAAGGGCTCTCGACAATAGGAATGGCTTTGGTATATCAGATATTTATAAATGTTCAATAAATCAATGTTTATGAAAGATATGCTACATAAAAGTTTATAAGCGCGCTATTGTGATGCGCATACCTGTTACTCGAGGATACAGATACTAAGGTTTCATTGGCACAGACCAAAGAGCTTTACGGATTCTGCATAACGTAAGGAATGCATAGCTACGCGCAAACGATCTAATATAGTATTATTGCCTCAGTAAGCGTAACATGCAGTAGACGACAAGCATAAGCAAGAAATAGACAAGAAAGTGTCACCTACGGGTCATTTTTTTTGTGGAGCGTGCTGTTTTGAATAAGAGTTTTATCTCTAACGACTTGTATACAACTTTGTTAACTCTTTCCATTATTCCACAAAATGTGAAACAATTCATTTTTTATACAACGCCTGATGAATCTTCTCACTCCGACCCCAAAAACGAGACAAAATGTTTACCCATGTTCGTTTCCTCTTTAATTAGTGCCGCAATCGCTACAGGTGGCACGCGTGGGTTACATGCTGCTTTCATTAAAAGGTCTTTTCGGTGTAAGGTTTTATTTTGAGGGGGTTCCTTCCGTCTTTGTCCGCATCTAACTAAAGCCTGTACAATTTCAATGGACGCTCTCTGCAACTCACGCAAACGGACCCGAGGCGCACTGGAAACCATACAGAGAATGGACCGTACAAGTTATGTTGGAGAAAAATGCACGTTTGCCTCATGTACAGACGCACGCATCAATTTGGTGCCAACAGTAATGACGTCTCCCCGGAGGAGTGTCTATTCTGGCATTTCAATGCTTAACTTACAAGGTGTCCGGTGAGTTTCACGCTCCAATGAGCAAAACGGGCAAGCTTCGGCCTCGGTGACAGCAACTAAAGACAAGTCTCTCCTCTCTCTCCTTGGAGCTGCTGGTAATGCTGAAGGTCAGTAAGCAAAGAACAATGTGACAGAGAGATATAACATTATGCCCCAACAAAGTAAAAAAAAAAAACAAGCAGTACACTTACTGCACTTACCTTCTATAACCTGAAATAGCTCGGGCAAAATCTTTCACGGTATATCTGTTTTTTCTTTTTTTTAACACTGATCATCGCCATCATCACGACGCGTCTACTGTCTTTCTAAACGGGCCTTAGGAAACGCCCTACTAGTGTTCCGATGGTTATTTTGAAATTGTATGCACTGGTCTGACACTATGCCAAATTGTTGCACACAGGTTTAAGTGCTTCCACCCACCAGAACCAATGGCCAAAGGTATCTTTTAAATCCTTTGGACAGCCACAAAAGGTAAAAAAAAACTGACGTGACAGAAATCATGAAAGGATGCACTCTCTCTGCAGCCTGCTTTCTGAAATTTCAATCAGGGTCAACCACCTAACCACCTAACCAAATCATAATAGATCTTAAATGCCGAAGTAGATTAATGAGTACCAATTTCAGAAAATGTCCTTGGTTGCCACGCAAAAAAACTACAGGGAGTGACAGAGGTAATCGTTTCTTTATATACACACGAGTCTCGTAACTTTTAGAAGCTTTCTAGCACAAGACATCCCTATTACTGAACCTTAAATTCATTGCTGAAGATGTCCGGAAACGTGACGTAAAATCAGGCACCTAAAATTCTGTGGTGGTGCTTGGGAATGTGAATTTCGTATGATAAAAATAATTATTAACCATTTTTTTTTTGGTATTTTTAAGAGTTTACTGACACTTGTAAAAAGTGTGTCATTATAGGGGATATACTACGCCCAGTTTGTGCCCAGTCTTCTGACATGAATCTTTCGCTATTTAGTACGTCTACAGCCAATAGATAACAATGACTCCCGCCCATAAAAAGTTCAACTTACATTCATTTGTGTCAATACAAGCCACACCCACATCGTACGTATGGTTGGTGTCCTGGTCGGTTGCCAAGCTGTACAAGCAATCGATGAGGTTTTCCTCCCAGCCCATGCACTGCACGTCCTTCAGTAGCACGCGTCCTGTAGCGGGCCAAAAGTCGGCCGTTACATTCGCAAGCGCCCCGGCCGGGAACCCCAGTTGCCGACACACGACGTTGGCGTCGTCGATAGTCCAGTCCGGGTCGGAAATTGTGCCGACGGCGCCCGTCCGGAAGCTTACCTCGACTCGCCCCTGTGTGGGGCGGCCATCGCTACCATTTTGCGACAGTTCCACCCTGAATGACTCTATCAATGAAAGCCAAAGTTGTGCACGGTGGAAATATTAAATTGGCTTGGTGCCAGTTTCAAACTCAAGTGTCGAGTCCAACGTCATTACCCTTACTGGCCCAAGATGCGTACCCATGGGTAACAGTATATCGACAAGAATATAAGATTAAATTACTGCCCTGAAATATATGATTGCCAAGCTTTTGGTAACTGAGTACCTTCTTCAGGGCAAGCTGATTCACTTCTGAATCTGCTTGCCAATCATATATTTCAGAGCACTGATTTAATCTTATATTCTTGTCGATATTCTGATCACAGTGCTACGCAGCCCTTCCATATTTCCATGGGTAACAGTACAACAGTTTACACTGGTACCCCCCTCACACAATGTTTGCGTTTTTCTAATTTCATGAATTTCGTTTGAACCAAACCAGTTACCCTTTGGTTCAAATCTATTCTTTCGTTTGCATTCCTTTTGCTCTAGTTGGTTTTATCAAATAAAGTAAATATAATAATTTTTAAACCTTGTTTAGGTGTGAATTTTGTGCTTTCAAAATTGAGTCCAATTATACCATGACTTCCTAGCATTAAAATAAGTGATATCTTCAATTCACTAGCGCACTGCCAAAATAATCATCATTAAGATCACCAACCATAACCACGACAATATTGATCAGCTGAAAAGGTATTACTTTGATCATACCCAAATCGCCACCATTACACCAAACCCACAGAGCACCAGAATCTCCGTCATCAGAAAATCCTACAAAATTTACTCAGTCACGCACTATGTTAATCACTCACTCAGTCACTCTAGAGCCGATGAAAACTCACCCACATGACAAGGTATCTCCGAACGCGTTGTCAGACTGCAGTCTTGGTATCCTAGAGACCCGTTCTCATTTTCTGCGAAACACCAGGGTACCAGTCTGTGGCCCCCTGGGTTCCGACAGAAATTGTGCCCTACCGTGGAGCCCTGTTCCACTCCCTCCAGCTCCCTGTAGATCAGTCCCGTGTAGTTGTGCCCGGCCACCCTTGGGTCTGACCAAGGCAGGCAGCCAGGAGTGGTTCTTGTTCCCCTGTAATCCCACCCATTAGGCGCAGTGTAGCACTCAGAGAACGCTGGTATAAAGAAAAGGTGAGGAAAAACAGTTAAAAAACAAGAAAAGACTACCCTACTACTGTGAGGTGCAGCTCGTTACAGAGGAAAAAATATTTGACGAGTCTGGTTTAAGAAGAGGACCGTATCTTCCTTTAAATGTGCTTGCCAATTCAAAATGAAAAACAAAAATCGCGCACAAAATCTATAACAGGGTGTACGCTAAATTCCCGTCCATCAAGATCCAGGCTTTCATAATGAAAATCAATTCCTTTAGTTTACAGCAGACTTACCTTCTTTTACTTTACGTTTTTACAAGTGTATCAAAATGGATGCCAAAACCCGTGGGGTGGTTCGCAAGTCCACGACACCTGTACACTTCCTTCTTTTAAGCCTTCCTTGTACAAGATAGTGACCAAAACATCTTTTTAATGGTGCAGAATACACTTTCGGTTTAGAAATTGTCGGTACCTGCTTTGCAAGGCTCAGGCAGCATAGTTGTAGGGTGGAAGCAGTCGAATCCTCTACTGCAACTATAAAAGGGGGTTACGGTATCGCCACGTTTTTTACCACAGGATGCCTTGTACAGGTACTCAGTGGCTGAAATGAGAATAGACACCTGACAGGAATCGTATAATCACAGCTGGACTGTATTAGTCTTCAAACAGGTCATTAACGGTTACCTGATGCTGGGGTAGTTTCTTGCATCGCTGTGTGCGCGAGTGTAACTGGCAAAGTCGAACTTTGAGTGCACTTAGAACTGAGAGAATCTCAACAACTGAAACTTCGGATTGCATGGTCGGGGCCGTATCCAGGAAATTTTGGATAGTTTCAATTTTTTCGCGGGGGATGGGTGGGTGGTAAACTATATTTGTTGCCATTGTTGAAGACATTCGATCTCTTTGTTTTGTGCTTGTCCGAATACACAAATAAGACCCCTACAGGCTTTATGCTTTTTAGCGGCTTATTACACTTCCGGTTGTATGACGTTTTTCTACGCTCTCACTATCGAAACTCCCGAACCACTGAACTTTGGAACTGCTGAGCGGAACCCACGGTTTAGCCAGGCGTGTCGGGAATTCTTGAGCCACTCTACTGGTTAAAAAAAAGAGCTGATATAACAAACGAAATAATTGCTGCATTTAAAAAATTAAGGTTTGTTTTTCTCTGTCAGTTCCAAGACCTGTTGGCATTGGTAACAGTTCTTATTGCCGGAGCACCAATCAGCCGTTGCCGTGGGTCTGCCTCTCTATATTACTGATTAGGACTGCTTGCCAGAAAACTAAACGGTTAGAACCCAGTGGTTATTTCTTACCATAAAAAAAATCTCTAGAAGAAACACCGTTGCAGATGACTTTTTGAACGACTTCGTCGGCATTGTCATTCCTCAGGATGTCACATGCTGTATGGAGGTTGAGTGTACAAAAAATGGTATGCAATGGATAACAGTAAGTTGGGACAGTTTTAAATATGCCTGGTGTGATCTCTGGATAATGGCCGGAAGCGACGGCTGTAAAAAGAAATCAGACCCCTGGCCCCCTATACAAAAAACAGTCCCACCTCCATTTCGGAGCTCACTTTACTTAAATCAACAGTAGGCTAGTGGCGTGGGTTGATCATGGATGTGCTAATGGATGCAGGCATTATGGATATCTATGTTATTAAGTCACTTAATTCAACAACTTTCTTCCTCTAGGGTTCTAGCTGCGTGTGCTTTATACTAATTGACGGTTTCTTTGAAATAGAGGTCATGTCAAGCGTAAAATTGGCTGTTAGGTAACCCTGTGATACGGGGCTTCACCAGCCAGTAGCAATCTCTTATCCACGAGTTTAACACTTTATTTGAGCATGATGTGATAAAGGAAGTCCGTGTACCCGATCAAACTACCCATCGCCGTTAGCGCTCGAGCGTAAGGGGGCCGACGGTATTACCATTATGTGGTGTCGTGGGCATAAAAGAGAGACAAAAAGAAGTTCAGTTGAGGCTTGCCTAACGGGGTATGAGTCAGGAAAAGGATTAGTATTCCGGGTGTTCGTGGTTGAAATCCCGCAGAATATTTTTGTATTTTTCCGGTTTCTGTTCGAGAATATCGGTTTTGAAAGATTGTATTCACTGTAGCTAATATTAGTAGCTTTAAATTTCATTTTATTTTAGGAATGAAGCTCACTTCAACTCGCATTCTGGACTCTCACTTACTAGCACAGCACCCATGATACAATTTGCCATAATATATTTCGGCTCAGTTCCGAACATGGGCATTTCCCTATAAAAGCCTCGTTTGGTAACAGTGGTGGGAAGTCGGATCGAATGATTAAAAACTGAGAGGGTATTTACAATCTTATAGGGTCGTTTGAGTTGTCAATAACCGCATCGATTCCGCGGGTTCTCCTCCCTCAAAAATAAAGCGGAAGTAACTCACTGCAATTAGTTTCATCAACTCCATTAACACACTCGGGCCAGAGGTCACACAGGGTGCCACATCCCCCTCCCTCGGCACAGGGTTGCTTCGGTGGTGGGCATACCGGCCGACCTGAAAATAACAAATAGAAATGAATGACTCTCTTCATGATTATGAATGAGTACCATGCCTGAATAAACAACTGGCCCCATAGGCATGTTTTCAACACGGGAAATATAACTTGTTTTGTGACCTCCTACGGGACGATTAAATGCAATACAGTCCGGTATAATTCACAAACGTTTTGACCTATTTTAAAAACTTGCATTGCAAGTGACATATTTATGCGTTCTTCCCTTTTGCATCTTTTAAAATATATTTTTTTGTAGAGCGACAACGAGCAAAATAATTTGTTTCCGTGTTCTGGATTACCTATTCGAATAACATTTGCTTTACCTACGTCAAGACTGAGCGGTAGGGTAAAGACTCATCGTTGGTAAACATGTTAAAAAGATATTTCGTCAGTACGAAACTCTGAAGTGCCTTCCAAGCACGCAATAAATTATATTAATTACTTCCAGGATGTTGTCATACGATGAGACAGTTCTCTCACAATGCCGTAAACCTGCGGTGAAGTATCTCAGAATTCGATATCTGAATAAGATGTCGTCATCCCAAAATTGTCGAAATATTCTGCTTGATGCAGAAAAACATTGTGATCCCATGATCATTTTAACTTCGAGTGCTGACATCCTGTTCTTCAGATGCTATCATCGCGTGGAACATTATCTAAGGAAGTCGTCATCCCGAGATAAACCATCCCTTCGGCTGTCAACCCCTTGTCTGTGTTATCCTATCCTGAGATAAGATATGTTAAGGATCGTGTTAAGTCGCACACCACTTCTACATATCCGTGACGTATGCAATTGGTGCAAAAAGTATACATGTACCTGGTAGAACCAAAAAAGCCCAGTTTCTTTTTCGACTTTCACATCTTCAACTCATTCCTACCAACTTTTCTTTTTATGAGGACAGACTACTTGGGTGACTTCTTAAAGTACGATACAAGGTGAATGCGTCAAATTGAAAAACCCAGAGACATATATGATTCACATTTATATTTTAAAAAAATTACATACTCAAACCCTAACATTTAGTGCCACTTTCTGTACTTTTTGTCACATCTCATAGTCGCAGTGGACCACTTTCTGAAGTGTTTTTAAACGACAATAAGGGGCTAGATGTAAATTTTCACAGAATAATTTTTCAAAAATGTTAATATTTTGAGCCATAATAAATATCTCTGAGTATTTTTAATTAAAGTACACACTATGGGCCATGAGGGGTTAAATTGACCTTATATGATAGTTTTCAGCCGTCTTATAAACAATAAGTTGGATTAACCCCTCTTTTATATCATTAAATCAGCAAAACTTGACGTTTTTTGTGTGCTTTTCTTAGTCTCCGCTTGGGATCTTCGCAAACATTTATCGAAATCGGTCGATGAGAGTAGCAGACAAATCTTAGAAAAAATGTGATGTCACAGGATGGACTCGACTTTCCAGACCAGAATACATAGTTCTGGTAAGAAAGTTGGTCGGTCCAAGCAAGCGACTCGCAGTGCACTGGTGAAAATAAAAATTGTCGGAATAGAACACCAACTTTGACGAAGTAGGCTAGCCTGTAACCATGGACAAAAAAATTACCCCCCAAATCACTGAAACACACAACAAAACGACCAAACTGGCGAAACAGAAAAAAAGGCAAGCAAGGCAATCTAGCTTTCTCAGTAGGCAGTAGGCCTTACAGACAAATCTCAACCCAACGTCAACCCATTTCGCGTCACCTGGTTTTGTTGGTTGTCGACGATAATACGTGCATGTTTCACTTTAAAACAGGATTTATCAGACATCAGCGAATACAGCTATCGACTAACCAATGGTAGGACAATTACGTCTTTTCAGACGGACACATTTTTATAATGATGCATGAAAAAAAATCAATACCACTCAGTACGTGTTTTTCCAAGGATGAATTTGCGCCAGGGACCACCGAGCTTACCATCCTTCCATCATTGGAAATAGTTGCTCGCGGTACCCGCTGCTACATCTGACTCGAGCCAGCCAGCCGACACCGGCAAGCTCGGTGGTTGAGTGGTTAAGCCGTCTGCACTAGTAAGTAGGAGGTCGTGGGTTCGAGTCCCACCCGAGAAAGTTTGTGGGTTTTCTTACCAGCTTCGGGAGTATACAGTGTTTTAATACACATCAGGCAGGGCAAAATCCCAAATTGGCCAGTGTTTTTTTGTGGGTTTTCTTACCAGCTTCGGGAGTATACAGTGTTTTAATACACATCAGGCAGGGCAAAATCCCAAATTGGCCAGTGTTTTTGTTGTCGATCCTCCGGTCACTGCCATGCCCGTGGCCAACAGCGTCGAGTTGCAAAATCTCTTCCTGAGTGTATTCTGGTTTGAACTGATGAGACAACATTTCTTCATCAGCTCCTTCAATGTCGCTTTCTTTGTCAAATGAATAAGACGAACATGACAACTGATCGCTGTCATGATCGGAAAAAGCATCAACGCTGGAATTATCGGATAAAAGGACTCCGTCCTGTGAAGTCACGATTCTTGTGAATTTCTTCAGGCAACGTTCGGTACCTGACGGCTGTTGTTTAGCTTTTGCTCCGAGAAGGAGTGAAACAGGGTGAAACTATAATTTTTAACGTATTTCCCCACATTTTTAAATTATGCAGATGTGTTTTCATGTATGTTTGTTTCATGTGTTGATGCATGTTTTACAAGAAATCCTCCCAGCACGTCCCGTCCGCATTAAGTTCAGATACAATTTGTCTCGTAAAGAAAAAGTTAGCAAAACTATTCCAAACAGCGGAAACATGAGGAAAACTGTTTTCTACCAAGTGTATGTAAACGTTTGCCCCGGCTATTTTTATATGAACTTGTTCACCGGCTATCACTTCAGCTTGACATGCAAACCCTTATTGTTTCAATTGAATTGCCTACAAACAACGTGAAAATTTCATTTTTCACTTTGAGGAGGGCTAAGGATTTATATCAAAAATAAGCCCGTTTCAGTTTTTAACTAAATAGCTGTTAACTGGTTATTATTCATAGGCAATGGAAAATTCCACCAAGTTTGTCCAGGATGCAGGTCAAGTTGTTTTATAATGGAGGGTAAATGATTACACGATTACATCAAAGTTCAAAATGCAAACACAAACGTTCACAAGCCTGATGAAATTGTGTTCTAGTTTTAGGCACTACTGTCCAATTAAATTTATTTGGTTTAATTTTCATAGATTGTTTTCAAAACTACCTATACGACAGTTTAGCCATTCCTATAGGTCAAGATCTCGTCATGTGGCCCTCAAAAGGGTTGACAAAGCACCGGCTGGCAGTTAAAAATACTGTTAATTTGGCAGGAAATTCAGACTCCCTTGAAATCTGATCCACGTAGACTTGCTTTCCTTGAATGTTAATAATCTTCACTTTTGTAGATGCATTACTACGAATGAGTCTGCGCTTGTGTACCCAAGCACCTCGATAAAGCCACGGTCACCCCTCTCGATCAAGAACTCACCTCCATGAACCTTACTCACCACAGAGATCCCATGTTTCATCCGACCCATCGCTGCAATCCAGTGTTCCATCACAGGTCCATTCTGCTTGTATACAATAAACACTATCTCCGCACGTGAATTGTCCAGGGGAACAAGTGGGAAACACGCTTTTGGGAGGCACTACCCAGGCAGAAGAATAAAGAAAAAATACAGAAAACGTACTGTTCACTCTTTGTGCGAAAGCGAAGACGAACGCAACTTTGTGACGTCAGATGAAACACTCGCGTTGCAAGTCGAAAAAGCTATGGACACACTTGCAATTCGAGCGAAATTTCGCTTGGATTTTTTTGCTTCACTTTCGCATTTTCCAAATGAACCTACCTTAAACGAGATACACCGTGCTCCAAAGCTAAGGCGGCACAACTACAGTATGAGCGAAAGTGTTACAGCACATTTAGCAAAAACCACGTTAGGACACCGTCCTGATTCACCAGGAAGCTTGCCTATCATTAGCATGATCACATGGTGGGGTTCAACTACTTGATGTACATACCCCGGGAAACATCAGGGGAGCCACACTCGCTTTCGTCTGATTTATCCAAGCAGTTGGCAATGCCGTCACAGACAAAGATTTGAGGGATGCACTCGTGAGAGGAGCATTTGAAAAAGAAAGGCTCGAGACATTGACCCGGAGAAAAGATCGAAGTGCCTGAAAATAAAAAAAAAAATTATGGGTCACAAAGGACATTTTAAATGTTGCAAATGTAAGAGGAATCCAATGCTTACAGCTGTAACTTTTAGTGAATATCTTATACTTTGAACGTTCATTTTTTTCAGAGTTGATGGGAACGAGCACCTATGTCCACCCATGTTTGAACGTTGACCAAATAATTGTTATTAAACATGAAACTGTGGGTGGCAGTAAGTCAACAGTTCAACATACCAAACGCTTTATATATGTATTAGCTGCAATTGTTGTTTTTTGGGACATCAACTTTAAACACCAACTAGTCAAAATAATTTTGGGCGCCCTTTCAGATAAATTGAGAAAATGTGTCAAGACATATTCAAATAACAGAGGTACTTGAAATTTATTATTATTTCACCTTCTGTACAGTTGAATCTTCAGTAATGACGCCTCAAAAGTGATTATAGCGCCACCAAGAGTTGGTCCCGGTCTGACGGTTCTTTTCCACCACATAGTCTGACTTACTGACCTGAAGATTCCTGAGAATTCTTAAAAATCCCAGGTCAGTTGTCATCTACGGTCTGGAATAGCTCATAACACATCATGTCATCGGTCTGCAGAAATGTCCGTCTAGGCCACGAATAACTTTGATAAAAAGTGACGTTCTATGAACAGGCGCATTACATCGCGAGGGCCGCTGCGCACTTTACAAGACAGGCTTCATAACCGTACGGGAATGAATTATGAGGAACACGTGTCCTTTCGTGACAGTGCTACAATTAGCTTACACGTGTAAGTCAAACTTACACGAGAGCGTTCGTTTAGCCATCACGTGATGTTCGTGCCTGCCCTGGTGTCAGCCATCACTACCCCAGCTGGCCAGTGGGTCTTTGGAGGCAGCCCGAGTGTAATGACGTCACGGATGGACTGTTCGAGCATGGACGAACATGATGGAACGTGGCGGGGACTTCACCTTTTTCCCAGAATGCCTTTGAAAACACACTGCAGCGTTCGATAAGCCTCATTTTGAGGCTTCCGTTGAGTGTAACATTGTTGTGTTCAGGGAAGCTAATCGAACGCACCCATTGTGGTATAGACAAAACAGCTAGGGATGTATTTGCATGGTGTTTCATGCCAATTAGATAAGCCAAAAATAACCTATATGTTGGATTTGCATGCCCGGAAATTCTATATCTCGGTGTTAAGATTCCAGCAAAAAAGGCCGAGGTTTTGCAAAAAGAAGGGGGAAAGTTAATAACAACTTATTTATGGCAAGACCCATTATCATTCAAACACGTGGATTAACATAACATGCAATACGCTGGTACTTGATGTTGGCCCCATGGGTCTTGATGTTTAAAAAAATCCATTTTTAAGGAATAGTTTTACTTCATTTTGTTTGGGCAATTTATTTCATGGGCTTCAGCCTCAGAGGGCCACTTATATCTCAGCTTGGCCCTGGACGCTAACTTGGTCCATTTAAAAAAATCTGCGTGGCAACTTGCAACATCTGGAACCAAATCTCAATCAAAATGAAGAGCTCCAACTTACCGCATATCTCCTCGTTTTCGTCACTCCCATCAAAGCAGTTCCTTTTCCCGTCACAAACATGTTTCCTTGGGATACAGCCCCCTCGTCCCTTGCACTTATACTCTGACGTCTTGCAAGCTAGACACACACGCAAAAGAATCGGCCAAGTACCAAAAATGTACAACATTGTTTTTTTTCACAGGGACAATTTAAGGTTTTGCGAATGAATAGTTAATTGAATGGCAACTATGTTCGCACAAAATACACAGTGCACATTATACATGTAACACCAAATAATTGACCGCTGAGTCTGACATGATTTGGTTCAAGTTCTATGATCCCCGATTGTCGTTTTTGTTTTGGATGCCGATGCAGTTTTATTTTCCCCAAATCTTCGAACTCTGTCGATGGTGGATGCTTTTACAGAGATGCCTTTAAAGAGACGACTAAAAAAATTGCCTTTGTTTTACTGCTATGGATTCGTATGCCGAATCGGGTAGAGTGACGGTAGGAAAACTTCAAACAACAGATGTCTGATTCGGTTTTTTGAAACTTACGACAGTCATCTTCGTCCTCTCCTTCATAGCAGTCCCAGTGGCGGTCGCATTTCTTCTCCCAGGGTATGCACAAGCCCATGCTGCTCCCGGAATTGACGCAGCGGAACTGGCTGTCCATACATGTGCGCGACTCTGTGAACACAAAACAAGAAAGCAGTTATGCAGCAATTATGTGCCCTTCGTTGGAGCCCCTTTCGAAAAATCCTGGATCCGCTTATGCCTGTATAGGCATACACCCATTGGTTGAGAGGCATTCCCACACCATGGACAATTTACGGTTACATGAACGACTTCAAAGAATTTCCTTACAGCATCACGCTTTAGTGGTTCGGCAAAATTAGAGTTTCGTGGCCATTAGTGATACGGAATTAAGTGCCTTCCGCTCAATCATGCCTAACTAACCTAATGCCCTCGAGAGTAGGACCTTGGGTTGTGGGGGAAACATGCGAAACGCCTCCTTTTCATGTTTCTTTAACGTAAGAATGAAAGCAACAGAACCGACCTTCGTAGGCTTGTAAGGCCGGACCTTGAGCTGAACCTCTGTTCAGGTTGATTTACGTGTGCAGTGTTTTGCCGCGGAAGCGTTCAGAATGATGTTAATTGAACAATGTTAATTTTAAACTGCATTTTTCACTAATCTACGGCGTGCGACCTTCGCGAGTACATTGTTTTCTGCAGCTGGAGTTTTGGTAAAAAAAAGAAAAGCGCAGCATTACACAAACGAGCAAAAAAGAACATTAGCACGCCCAGACTTTGGTGTCTGGATTCGCCATGAAAAATTAGACAATCGCTTTAACAATGGAAGACTTTGAGACGCTTGGTGGCAGCAAACATAGCGGTCCATTTTTCCAGTGCTAAGCATGCGCAATAATGTGAAAAGGACCTGTATGTCTGCTGCTCCAAGCGTCTCAATTTCCCATTCGTCGGACGAAAGATCTAGTATCCCAATTTGTTTTACTACAACTGGCCATTCATGCTATATATCCAGGCCAACAACCCGAGATCTGCCAAGTCTAAAACTTGCCGTAGTTGCAGTCTCGCTCGTCGCTCGTGTCGTTGACTCCGCACTGTCTAATGGCGTCGCACAGCAGATACCTTTTGATGCAGACTGGTCGCTTCTTACAGGCAAAATCGTCATCAAGGCATGGTTCTGTGTGTATGGAAGCACGTCAAATACGTGTAGATGATCCGTTTGGAATGCATATTCAGCTATAAATAATTTAAGGAAATCAATAGACAGTAAAACAGTCCAGACATGAGAACAGCTGACTGCAAAGCGGTTAAAGTTTTCAGATGCTGTAATCCATGTTGGACGGAAACTAGGGACAGCAAAAACCTTCTCAGATTATGCAAATCAGACTGACATGTACTTAAGTAGTAATGAGCTTATGTAATAGCTCACAATCCTGACAATTTGGACTATCATTGAGCCATACAGGAAAGAAATTGAGGGCGCTGTTTTTAGCTGCCACACCCTTTTTTTAAATTTTGTGTAGTCTTCATTTTTAATTCTTGTGATATCTTCATTTTTTTAACCATCGTGTTTTATACAATGTGTGAATGAATCTGTTGTAGTGTTCTGTTTCTGTACGTGTATCATTTGTGCCAACTTGTCTTCTTCAAGAAGGTTTTTGATCAATTTTTAGCACCCCTTGAGCCTATGATGCTAGCTACAAGAGGACAGGACTTGTGCTTGTCAAATATGCCTCCCAGCACATAGCCGGATATCGAATCAAGCTTTATTGCTTGTGAACAGTGTGACCATGGCTGACAGATTTTCAAGCTTTTCTCTACCCTGGGTTGTTTCACCTCTACTGGTGAACGTACATTAAAATGGAATTTAACTTTCATCATAAAATTTCTTTTGGGAGGTGGAATAAACATGGCTATACATGTTTACAACTAGCTGGGCTGAACCCTCCTTTGGATCTGACTGTTTGTGTCGACATTTCTCCGAACCCTAGACCGGAAGGTATCAGTGAAGTTGAACACAACAAACCAGAGTAAGTATCATGCAATTTAAAGAATACGAAACGGATAACGTATTCACGGCATCAACTGTTCTCTTATCGTTGTGGTCGCCCTGATCATCACATTTTTGGAATACTTACGAAGAATGGCCTCTTGAAATACAGGGGAAAGAGCGCTGGTCGCCATGCCATTATAACTGACATATATCCTGGGCATCAGCATTACCCAACTGCTACCCTTAAAGGAAACCTGTCGATTGAACACTAAGCCCGTTTCTCGTCCAATCTAAAGATCTCTGTTAGTTAACATCAAAACGGTACAAGTCCTACCGTCAACTTTATGATAACCCGGATACTCGAACTACCAGAAGTCCTGATCTCAATGACCAACCTGAAAAACATCTGACGGCCTTTACATTATTGGACATCAGTTATATTAAAGGTATCAAGATTATACATTTGAATACTGGATCTTTGTACAACAAATTTCATGAGATACGCTAGCTTGTGGTGGAAATCAACCCTCACATCCTGGGGATCTCTGAAATATGGCTCCACGGTGGGATTGATGACTCGGAGATACACATACCGAGTTTAACTTTACTATGGAAGGATAGAGGAGACAGCCATGGTGGTGTGGCACTCGACATGTATTTCAACAACAGATTAACTGTAGACCTAATCAATCTGCCAGATTATCAGCATACCAAAGTTGAAACCTTATGGGTTAAGCTGAGTCCTCCGCATACTCGTCCGATTCACACCGGAACTGTCCATGGCCCAAATGTCTGTAACCAGTTTTCTGAGGAACTGGAGGTTGTGCTGGACGAGATTATGGAACACTGTGCAGAATCAAGATCATAGGGAGAAATTGTTTACGTTGGGGACTTCAATTGTGATGCTGTCAAACACAGTGAATGGCAGTGGAAAAAGGCTTAATGGGCTAATGTCAGCAAGGTATTTATCGCAGATCATCTCAAAACCTACCAGGGTTGCTAATAACTCAGAAACTGATTCATCATGTCTGGACCACCCATCCCGATATGTACACATATAGTGGTGTGTTAGCGTCAGTTATTAGCGACCACTCACTAATTTATGCTGTTCGCAAAGCACTGGCACTTTCTAAGGGTCTCGTTCGTATTATTAGGGGTAAGTCCTGTCGGTCTGTCAAAGAAATGGACTTTGCAAATGATTTATGGTTAATCTCTTGGGTAGATATTCGAAACGCTGGAAGTCCTGGCGTAGCATGTACATCTTTTGAGGAAACTCTTGGCAAAGTCTGTGCAAAACATGCTCCTTTTAAACAATTTAAAATCCCTAATAGGGGTCCCGACTGGCTCAATGAGGAGTATCTTGTCTTAAGAAAACAGTTAGTGCAAATTAGATCTCGGGCCCAATTTACAAGATCTCGAACTGATTGGGCTGCTTTCCGTCACATGAGAAATAGGGTTAATAATCTAGCTCAAAGGCTGAAGCGTAAATTTTATGAGAGGACAATCAACAGTTGCAGGCTCTGACTCAAAAAAACTTTGGGAGGCAATAAAAACCCTCCTGCCCTCAAATAAAAAAACCAGATAGGTAAAATTAGATCTAGTGGTGAAATTCTGACCGACGGAGTTGCAATTGCCAATGCATTCAATGATTTCTTGTCAATATAGGTACTGAATTAGCAAATGCTGTAATGGCTAAAACGAGTTCACAAGGCGGTATCGATCAAGCAAATGNAACCTACGGAGTCAGTTCGGAGTTGTTTCGTTTTACTAATGTGACTTCCAACGATGTCTATAAGTTGCTCAGTGCCCTTGATATTTCTAAGGCTGGTGGCCTTGATGGTATTGTTCCTAGGCTACTTAATTTAAGGCTGGTTGCAGGCAGCTTGCTGAACCACTTGCTCACGTCATGAATTTAAGTCTCTCCACCGGCTCCATTCCCACTGCCTGGAAATTGAGTAGGATATCCCCTCTTCGTAAAGACGGGGATTATCTTGTTATTAATAATTACAGGCCCGCTTCTGTTTTGTCTGCTTGTATGAAGATTTCCGAAAAGCTGGTCCACAAACAATTGTTAGACTATCTAGATATGAACAACATACTCTTTGAAAACAAGTCAGGTTTCAGGCCAGTGCACTGCACTCAAAAATGTCTTTTGAGAGTTACTGACTATTTGCTTGAAAATATGAACTCCGGGTTTTTCACAGGAGCAGTTTTTCTGGACTTATAGAAAGGTTCCGACACGGTTCACCACGGTCGTCTTATTGACAAACTTTACGATATTGGAGTGTATGACTTTGAACTTGACTGGTTCAAATCGTACTTCCAGGGACGGCAGCAAGTTACTAAAATCGGTATTCAACTTTTGCTGGAGTTAACTTTGGAGTGCCTCAGGGGTCTACACTAGGTCCATTTCTTTTCACTCTGTACATCAACGATATTACTAGTGTTGTTTCTCAGGATACAATGACATTTTTATATGCTGATGACACCGCAATTTTCACTCACAAATCTGTAGATGGGTGTTTTAAATAGGGATATGGCCGAAATCTCCAAATAGTTACAAATGAATGTTCTTACTTTGAATACTAGCAAAACGAAAAGTATGCTATTTGGCACTCAAGCTAAACTAGGCTGAGGGGAGAATAATTTACGTGTTCAGATCGGCAACACTCCTATTGATAATGTTACTCAGTTTAAGTATCTAGGTGTATTGTTGGACCCATCTCAGACTTGGAATCAACATATCGATGGACTTGTTAAAAAAGCCAATAAACGTGTGGGTGTTCTCTGGAGGATCAAATGTGTTCTCCCACAACATACTTTAAACCTGTGATGCTGTTAGAGGAAATTCCTCGAAACTAGCACTCAACAGGCTCAGTAAAATTCAAAACAGTGCTGGTCGACTCGTCCTCGGTCCTCCACGGAGAACCCTTACAGAGCTTGTTCTATCGACATTAGAGTGGGATACCTTTTTTAGGTGAGGTATGAGGGGACCACTCAAAGAATAACTCTGTTGCTTAAAAAGGTTGCTTTTGACCCCTCGTCTGCTTTTCGAAAGTTTCAAGGCACTTTTAAATTATTGAGCATGATACTTTGAAGGAAAAGTGGTTGTGGGTGTAACAAGAACCCCTAGCCATTTCTATCACATTCTGCTATCTGCTATGCGCCGGTTTCCTCCCCAAATAAGTAGCTTATAACACACATCATCATTCCTGAATTGAATTTTTGAAATTCGATGAGAGGCCTTAATGATATTGAAGAAATCTGATGTATTTCAGATGCAGAACCAGAAGAGGTTTCACGAGCAACATCACGAGCAACAGTAGTATACTCGGAGTGGACCCCTGATCCCTCATCTGAAAATAAGTTCAAATGCCACATAATGTTCCTCAACTTGGTGGAATGACGCACAAGAACCCGTATCGTCGAAAACTGAATTACGAATATGCAAGGCCACTAGCTGTGCATGTCATTCTGTGTCTTCCCGGTATTTTTGGTGAGAAAGTTTCTTGAGAATGTGCAGACGAAGATTGAGTGGCGAAGCCAGGCCATTTCGATATCGGGGTTGCGCCTGTAAAGGGGCACTTACGATGTGTTTACCCATCCTCGTAAAACATTAATTGGATTGGTGAGCACAGCAGCGCTACTCAAAGCAGTCAGAATCAGTCGAACGGATTCCAAAGAATAAAAATGCGAGTTTCTCATTGTGTGTTATGCACGCACACCGAGCTTGTTTTTCCGTCTTTCTATCAGTGGTGTAACTACGGGGGGGGGGGCACGTGCCCCCCGCGAATGCTGGTGCCCCCGGGTGCCCCCTCCATTTGAAATCCATGATCAACCTCTGCCGCAGTTCATTGTCTTTTGGTGCCCCCTTGCAATTAAATGTGTGCCCCCCAGGTACCCCCTCCCCGGACACAATAGCCCTATAGTTACGCAACTGCTTTCTATATCTGTTTAGTTTTGGTATAGGGCAACCATTGACATTGAAAATATTTTCAATCCAAAGATACCCCCCCACTAAAAGTGCGAAGATTTCGCCATTTTTGAAAAATTGATGGCTATACTGTTCACTGCAAGATGGAAACACATACAAGGAGGGACCCACTCGTACATGTACACATTTCACAAAAAAATACACACACATAGTCATGTGATTTTTTCCCTTTAAAAAACCAACCAACCCT